ACGTGTGCGTGCTGGAACTGGAGGCTGTCCGAGATGTATGAAGTGTGTCATAAAGCAACATCTCTGGACGCAGTGTCGGACAAGTTCCCTCCTACGACGAGCCTCAACGACTACATCCGTGACGTGGCGGGTCTCAAAGGCACCAAGGTAATGTGTAAGGAGGCGGGCTGTGGCTGCTGTGCTGTGGCTGTCACTCATGCCTTTGCCGGGGACAAGATGGAGACCATGAGCATCAACTCGGTGGGTAAACAGGTCGAATACTGCTCACGGCACACTGCCAATCGAATTTAGTCAAATCAAGTCAAGCCCAACCAGATTTTCCTCCATGAAGGGGCAAAAGCAACAATTAGGCTCAGTGCGATTGAATTCGATTGGCAGTATATTATACTGGCTTCCACAATAACACCTATATTCAGGGGTGGGATGCAACAACAGGTATACACAAATGAAAAAGAAACCTGTAGACCTACATTATTATTTGCATCTATTCAACGATCCAATTATCCAAACAAATGGATTTTCCACATGAAATAACAAAAACACCATTAATCTCTCAGATACCTGAACTCCCTGACGTCGGTATCAAACAATTATCTAATTGTTTTAATGGAATAATTATTATAACAATGACGTAAGACTTTCTGTGTACCTTCATTTGCACCCCTCTCACCTTTTATATATACAAAGTTGATCATGCGTGTTGCATTGGATGTTTACTTTTAACCGCGAGGATCGAAGGGACGCTGTATGACAGAGGGCCTACGTCAGGTTCATTCACTTTTTGCGCTTTTTATTGAATCTTTAGTTCCATGAAATTCTCATCGCCTTTGTCTTACTTATGCCTGTACTGTAATGACGCTTAATGTTCTCCAGAGGAGTAACTGCTGAAGTGAACATCGTGAGTTTTAAAATACAATTCTAGCTCTGACGGTTTCAAGAGATGATAATAATATATCATCATATCATTATATCCATCAGTAGGATAATATGGGATTATCTTAGCTTTGCTTGATCTTTACTGGTACATTTTATTTGATGCCATCTTTCGAAATATATACGTTTTGGATTTCTGAGACTTATTTAATTAACACTTTGATAATTCAGCAGAATAGAATGTATACTTGACAAAATGCACTTATGATGGAGATTAATGAACCGAATCCCAGGTGGGAAAGATATTATAAAGAGCATCTGTGTCTTTTCTCTAGGATGTACCTAGCTCAGCACTGGTTGCTCCGAAAGGCAGAATCAAAGCAACCACCCTACTAAATGCTGCAAATAGTGTCGATGATTGTATCAATTACGTACATAGAACTCAAGTACTATTATATCTCACTCACTGCCTCTGACCGACCCCCCCCACACACACACACACAGTGCCTGTGCCCTCTGTACAGTATCGACGGCTGGCAAATCAGCACTGTCGAAGGCATTGGAAGTCAGAGGGACGGATTCCATCCGATCCAGGAGCGAATCGCAGAGTATAACGGCACCCAGTGCGGCTACTGCACCCCAGGCTTCGTCATGGGCATGTACGGGTAAGTCTTGAATGTCGGTCTAAACATAATCAAGGAATATATTTAAAAGCCATAGACAGTATGGGGGAAAACAAGTCTACTTATTATATTAAAAGGTAATAATATAGGGGAAGAGTCGCATTTTCGGCAACGTAAGGTTTATTAATAAATCTTTTTACTTCCCATTTCAATTTATATCTACTGTTAAGAAAAATAATATCTGAGAACCTCTATATTTAATATTCTCGACAATGTGAATAACAATAATAATATAATACATTTCCATTAAAAAGTACCGTTTCCTACAAGAAAAAATATATCAATATTGAGTGAAAATCGTCTTTTTACCCACGACTGCAATAAATGTCATCAGTTGTGTTTGCTTCTTTTCCTTTTCTTACACTCTGTCCAGTCTGCTCCACAAAGACTCTAAACCTACACAACAAGAGATCGAGGACTCCCTGGACAGTCACGTGTGCAGATGTACAGGATACAGGGCAATCCTTGATGCCATGAAGTCTTTTGGGTCGGATGCTACCTCTCCCGGGGCGAAATGCATCGACATTGAGGTACAATTAGGGGAGCGGTTGCACATTGTACTCCGTTTTGTGGCAGTCACTGATAGTAAACGGAAACAGAGTACACAGGATTTGTTTTTGGCTCTTCAAAAGCAGCTGAAGAAATAACCTTCTCAAGCTAGCAATCTACGAAATAGAACAGAGTCAAACGTACTCACTTATTGCCCCGAACTTTGATGTTTCCTACTCATTGCTCCTCTATTAACCTTCAGAAGGTAGCTCTGTTACTCGGTTTGAGAATGATAATAAAAGACTAGAAATTAAACAGGCAGCAGACAGATAGGCAGACAGACAGACAGACAGACATCGAGGGACTGTTGTAAATGGAAAGGGGAAACGGGATGAAAGCAGGCACCAAGGAAAAAGAAGACAGGGAAAGGATGGGAGCAGAGTAGAGAGGGAAAGAGAAAGAGAACGATGTATATATATA